ACACCCTATACTCGGGGGAAATCGAATCTCAGACAAAATGAAACTTACAACTGACAAGCAGATGCCCGACCAAATGATTTGAGTATGCGGCGCGCGCACAGTGACAACGACTTTATATATGCTTAAAAATACAAAAATTTGTACTGCTGCTAGAAGATTTAATTCCCCGGCAACGACGTCAAAAACTTGACAGTGGTTATAGATTCGATAAAGATATATATAAAATATTATATATAAAATATTATATATAAAATATTCATTAATTGCAAAGTCACACTTATCAACGCAAGTATACATATCGCTCAAGTAATATAGGTCTCTAACAGAGTCCTGGATATCGATCCTACAGAGAGTAATATTAGAGGCTACGAACTAATATTTTAGAAAATCAATACTTAATCACAACAATATAGTTTAAATTTCTTATATGTCACTGATAGACAATTTAAACAAATATGTAATTTTAATAACTCTTGAATAACTAATTTTACTAATAAAGTTTATAATGTGAAGTTCAATATATAAGAAAACATCATTCTCCTTGTCAAGAAATTAAAGTGAATTAGTTCATATTGGATTGTGCCAAATAGGAGCATACTTATTCTTTACCCTTTGGTCCAGACATAAAAAACATTGACTAATTCTACGCTTGTTTACTGAATTTGCGGCTAGGCTGGGAGGATACCGGCTCTCACTTTGGAGCTCCCACGTTCCCCTCGCCTGAGGGCTAACATCTTTCAGCACCCAAACGATAGGACCGAATTGAGGATTTTAGTCTGTCACTCTAAAATCTCCAATTCTATGCCCGCAAATTTTATTTCCCTATTTATTTGCACCCAACTTCAAAGGACTTTGACCTCCCTGAATCTCGGATGTAATCTTCACTTTAGTTATAAAACTCAACATATTTTAACAAATCAATTGACCAGATTGAAAGTAATTAAGGTCGAAGTGAAAAGATCATCACAACTTCTTTAACATTCTAAAGGCTCAACCAATTCAAATCACCATTTCACAAAATCTCAAAACAATGAGAAAAACATAGAAAATTACTCAGAACTCATGAGGAAGATATAACAAAACTCGAAATTTATATATAAAAACAAAGCCATACAAACTACAATAAGTAAATACCACTTATCTCTAATTCTTCCCCAAGCAAACTCCTCGAAGTTCCTCTAAATCTCTTCCTTTCTTTAAAATCTACAGAATTCTTCTTCGAAGCGGCAAGGAGGAAGAACCTTTCTTTTTGCACACAGAATTCTTCTTCGAAGCGGCAAGGAGGAAGAAATCCCTCACTTTCCCTCCAACCTTACAATCTCTTGAAGAATTCCTCACAATACTAACCCTAAATTAAACTCTCTACACTCTACAAACAACAAAACCTCAGCGCTACAACTTCCTCCTCCAGCAAACTCCTCTCCCGAACTCCTCTTATTTTCGGCCAAAAGTTTCTCTTAAAGTTGTAGAAGAGTTTTCCCAAGAGTTTCCTAATCATCCCCTAAAAAATCATCCACATTCAATGCACCTGTTGAGATAACCGCCGATCTCGCCGTCGGGGACCTCGAGGACGCGTCGACGGTCTTCTGGAATAATTGATTCTGAACTCTCGGGAAAAACCCGCCGTCGGCGCCCTAGTTCAAATCTTCATATTTTTGTCTTTTTCGCTTCAAATTCGCTCTTTTTTGCATATTTTTGCTCCAATGACCATAATTTCACATATTTACAACAAAACATACAAAATACTCTTCTTTAAAGTGCAATATCATCAAAATCAGTGTAAAATATGTGTGAAAATCTTAACATATTTTCTTTTGGTCACACACACGCGCGCACACACACACACAGATATTCCGTACAAAGCTCCCTCAGAGTGCTTTAAGATCACTCATAGATTTACACGTTAGATTATATTTAAAGGGATATGTTCCTTCAAACACACTCATCATTTTTTTGTTGTGTATAGAGAATGAGTCCCACTATAAGTGATATGTTTCAAGACTTTTGATAGAGCAAATATCATTTTCAACTCATGCGTATCAAAATTAAACATATTATATTTTGTATTACATATATCAAATAACTCTATAAACTACACTTCAATATTAAAGTTTGAAAACCCAAGAGATTGTGAAGGATATGTGTTTAAGTATTTTTGTGGGGGTAAAATTAAAAGGAGAGTAATTAATTACTCAAGATTTAACATTCATTCAAGGTTAAATTAAAAAAAATAATAATAATTGATGTTAACAATGCATTAAAGTAAGAGAAATTTAAATAATGAAAATATTTTGCATGACATTAAAACATTTTATAGTTGGACTAATAAAAAAATACATGTAATTTGTTAAATCTTGTTTAAGCAGTTGAGATACAAGGACAATATCTTTTATATGTATGCAGATTTGATCGCCATTAATCTTTACATATTTGAAAATTGTCTGTATATCAACTCAAACTAAAAAAAAAATATCAAATATTGTTTTGCCCATTAAATCGATAAAGACGTAAAAAAAATGAGCATGCAAGTGACAAAAGGTTTTTGCCTTATAAATAATCCAAACACTTAAACATAAAAAATGATCTTGAAGTACATAACTTAAAGGCACATTATTTCTAATTATTAGAACTAGGAAGTTAAAGGCGAAGACTTTAACCTATTAGCAAAACTACAACAGTGATCATACTACAAATAATAATGGTAATACTACTCTTAGAAGTTGCAAAATGTTCTCATTGTGCTTACAAAGTCCTACCCCATCCCACCCCACCCCACTCTGGTTTCGCCACCCACTTAAAAAATATAAGATACATACTAGTTGAAACTCAATACCTACTCCCATCACAAATTAATTTATGCAGATGTAAACTTACATGAAGAATTAATATAAAAATAGAATGAGAAGGGTCTCTATGAGATTCGTAAATATTTTCGCATCACAATTTGAATGATTATTCTTATAAAAGTATATATTAAATTGTGCCTTATAGAGTAATTATATCTGTAAGTTTTTGAAATCTACCTTGTATAGTGGCAACTTATTTCCTGTTTGGGCAATACTTCAACCATCCTTTTATTAAAAATGTTGCATCATAAATATTGACATTGGAGCAACCTTGTTCTCTAATTGATTTTGGTTGATGCTAAAACTTCATTTATTAATTGCTTATTTATTGCTTTATAAGCATTTTATAATGAGATTTTACTTTTCTCAAATATACATGTTAGTTTGTGTCAACTATAATAATTTTATTATTTTACTTTAAATAAATAAATAATAGCAATATAAATTTTAAAGAAGTTAAAATTCAAGCACCAGTTTTATCGCCCACTTTATGAAATGTCATTCTTGGTCCAAATAAACCATTAATAAGGACGAGATGCAACATTTCTCTTCTCTTATAGAAGGTGATCACACACCACCTCTAATAAGAGGTGACAACATAATGTAAAGTGCATAAGCCAATGGTGATTGAGCCTAATACATATAAGCAAATATTAATATAGACTATAACATAATTAGGCTCTTTATAACAACTCAAAATTTTTTTATTAATCTAATTTCCACTCACAACATCTGGATAAAATGGTTTTACTATTGGGTAGAGACTTTAATAAGTATTGCTTGACATGTGATAGAAGAATCACCTTACTGATATCCTAACTTTGCTTTAAAATTGCATAGAGCGAATGAATTATAACCTAAGAGTTCTTAAATTTTAGAAAAAAAACAGCTTGACTCTATTCAGAAAAAGTCAATGGCATACAATCCTGAAGGAATTTTTAATGTTGATGTCATGGGAGATATTGTTGTGAAAATTTGAACTTAGATTTAAAAATTCTCTCAAACCATCTCATTATTTCCAACAATGCTTCGTTTGAGCAAAAAGTTAAAATTGCTTGAAATTTTAACACAATTCTAAAAATTACTCAAATGATGACATCATTTAAAACACTAGATTCATTTCTTTTAACACTCCAATCTAGGATCACTTTTCTTATGGCTAATAAAAAGATCAAAACATGTCAATATCTTAAGTTAATAAAACCCAACATCATTTTGGAATCACTAACAAAATTCTAAAGGGCTATTACGCATGACCATAATTTCAAAGTAGAATTCGGTAGTTTGAAAATTAAATTAGATAAATCATATAAATAATGTAAAAAACAAACACATTGATTTGTATAGCATATAACAAGTAGAGATGCACATTATTTAGATAAAATAAAAATAAAGATAAAATTCATCTGTCTATTTTTGTTCTATCGTTAAAATACATATTCGATTATTTATTGTAACTTTAACTTTATTTGATTTTAGATTTAATTTTTCTCTTCCAAAATTGATAAAAAAAAAACCAAAATATTATGAACATGTTTCAATAAAGAAGCGAGGTAAAAATAACTACTCATAGCAAATCCCATGTAAACATACACCTAATAACTATATCTTAGCTTAAGGGAAAAAAAGAAGTGATAGCCATTAAACATTTATTTTACTATAATTAAACATATAAAATAATCACAAATTATTATTTTAAAAAAATTAAAATTTTAATATATTGATACCTTGCCTCTCACAAGGGAACTCTTTAAATTCACTTAGCAACTACAATATACACAACTACGTTAAGAAAGTTATACCTGCCACACAATTTTTATGTAATTAAAAATATAATATTCAAATTTTAATTTTGCATTTTAGAAACTAAATTTTTTAATATTACATAAAAAAAAACATTATTATTAATTTTATAAAAATAAAAGCACAAACTATTTTAAATATAAAAAATTATATTTAAATAGTTGATATGTCAAAATATAGACTCAATTCCCCCCCACACACACACACACACACACACACACAGTGATAATTTTGATAGAGGGAAAAAATTTGGTCAGCATAAACATAAAAAATTAAATATAAATGTTAAATATGTAAAAGCACAGGGTTTGGATGTTAATGGGTACATCTATAAAAGCCCCAGTTTTTCATCAATTCCTTTCCGGACAGGCAAGGCTAGGGTTTGAAGGCTTCTCATAAGCCGAATCGCTCTGTTGCTTTCTGCCGCCTTATAAGCCATACCACCGCTTTCGATACGAGAACCTGTTCTTTCCCTGTCTTCTCTTCAGCCAGTCGTGCTCCAAGACGCCGAGGTGAGGATTTTCCTCCTTCCTGTTTTTCGCGTCCCCGATCAGGATCTTTGTCGCATGGTTTGGATCCGTTTCCTACTTTGTTCAAATCTTCATTTCGGCGCTGGTATAGTTTTTTTTGGATAAATATTATACAATCACTGATTGTTTTTGTCGATGTTTTTGATTTTTTCATGATATAAAGCTCCGTCCGCACGTGGTCCTATTATTTAGTAAGTTTTTTCTTGTGCAATCACACCATTATCATTGGTCTATTTCTATTTTATATGCTAGAAATACTCATTTAAGTTGATTTTGATTCCCTGCACTTTGATTTACCTGATTGGTATGTTTTCGGTAGGGTTTTGCTCCTTTTTCCTGCGAGGAAGGTGCTGACTCTTTTTGGCTCGGTTCATATTATACTTCTTAGTCTAATCTACAGGTTTCTTGTTTATATTTTGTAATTTTTATGAATTTTTTGGTACATATCGGGTTACTATAAAAGCAGTGTTCTTTTAGCGTATTTCCTCAGCAAAAGTGGAGCTTTGCTCCGATGCTTCACCCATGTACACTATAGGACGTGCTTGGTTTCTTATAAATTGGATAAAAGGGTCTAATGAAATATTGAACTTGATAATTAAATGTGCTGGTTATAATGAGAGGTCTAGGTGGATTACAAATTCAACAAAAAACCTCAAATGCTCTGCAAAGTCTTCAGATGTATTGAGATTTAACTTATTAATGTCCGAGGTCGCTAAAAATGAGGGCAGCAGTCTCTGAGAAGTCACAGATGCTGTTTTTGTTTCAACAAATTCCACCAATCTTCCTTATGGATCTATTTTGGCTCTTGTGAATTTTGACGACATGCATTCCAGCTTCATTGAGCTTCAGCAAACCCTGACCAGGTTTGCTGAGGCCTATTGAGTACCATAAGGTTATCTGATGGCCTCCAGCTTGGTTTTTGAATTCTCTACTCGGGCTATTCAGAGTTCTGGCTGTGCTAATTGAAGCTTTTGATATTAAAAAATGAATGTAAACTTAAAAAGAAAAATAATTTGAATTACATCTATAGGAGTCTTGAAATGTACTGATAAAACAATAACCAGCCAAAAACTTGATTTTCAAATCATAATGTATAAGTTTTGTGAATCCTGATATATTTTACTGTTTATTCACAAAGCAGGCACTATGAAGAATAATACGGAGTGAATATGTTTTTTTCCTGCATCCTTAAATTTATTGATGCTTTTAAGCCGTGAATTATTGATCTTTGTTAGCTTCACTGATATTATCAGTGTAATTTTCCAGTTTCTCAACTAAAATTTTAGCTAGCAAAGTATGCATTTATTTATCTCTATAAACCCTATTTGGTACAGTTTATACCACGGAAAAAGAAAAATAAACACTTTAAATGTTTTGTTGCAAGGTTTTGATACACGGAATGTGTTGCTCAGAATAATATGGAGTGAATATATTTTTTTTTCCTGCATCCTGAAGACTATGGATGCTTTTAAGCCTTTGAATTATTGATCATTGCTACCTTCACTGATATTATCAGCGTAATTTACCAGTATCTTATTTACATTTTTGCTAGCTAAGTATGCATTTATTTATCTCTTTAAACCCTATTTGCTACAATTATCCCACGGAAAAAGAAAAATAAACCCTTTACTTGTTTTGTTGCAAGGTTTTGATACACGGCATGTGTAGCTCAGCTATATTTCTAGTTATTTGTATGGTTTTTATTTTTTCTTTTCTTTTATGCAGTATTTGGGTGCTCAAGTTCTTCTGAATGGCTGAAATTGGCAAACGATATCGTCATGGGGACGGTGATAGTGCAGGAAAAAATCAAAAGAGGAGAGTTGGAAACAAGGAGAATTTTAATGATGGAGAATTGGTTTTCTACCGAATACTTTGTCCAGACAATGTTATTGGAAGTGTAATTGGCAAAGGTGGTAAAGTGATCAATTCCATTAGACAAGAGACACATTCCAAGATCAAAGTTGTTGATCCCTTTCCTGGTGCTCAGAAGAGGGTTATAATTGTGTACTGTTATGTGAAGGATAAGGATCCTGTTGATGTTGAGGATGAGATCACCAAACCTCTTTGCCCCGCCCAAGAAGGCTTGTTGAGAGTTCATGCTGCTATTATAAATGCTCTGTCGAACATGGAGGATGTTGACCAACAAGGTAGGGAAGAAGTTGAGCTGCTTGTTCCGACCAGTCAGGCCTCTAATATCATTGGAAAATCTGGATCAATTATCAAGAAGTTAAGGGCGAAAACCAAGGCGGTTATAAAGATTAGCCCGAAGGATGTTAGCAATGCTGCTCATTCTTGTGCTATGAGCTTTGATAACTTTCTTCAGGTGAATAGATTTTGTTTATTTAATAATTGATATTTTCTAAATTAAATTCACTTAGCTTGATTGCTCAATCAACATCACTTTTAGCATATGAAGCATGATGTTAATGAAGGGTGGTATTGAATAGATGCATGATAGAGATGGAGGGGTGGGGAGGGGAGATTGAATGATTAAGGAGTGGGTTGGGAAGGTGGGTGGCAGGAAAAAAGGGAATTTGTGGAGTTGATGAGGGTAGAGAGGGAGAGGAGTGGAAGGATGGATGGAGAAAGGGTGAGACGAGAGGGTGTGGGAGACGGAGAGGGATTTTGGTGGAAGGAGCGAATAGAGTGTGAGGAAGAGGTACAATGGTGACAGTGATATGGAGGGATGGATTTGGGAATGCGGTGAAGGAGAGAGATAATACATGTATTGTGCCAATTGTTAATGCTTCTAATTTTGCAGGATGTTGGTAGAAGTTAAGGACGGTGACAGAGGGGCAGGATAGGGCCTAAAGGAAGAGGGGCATGAGAGTTGGGAGGGATTTTTTTTTTATTTGTGATAGAGGAGGGCGAGATATTGCATATTTAATATTTACTATTTACACTCTTCACTTATTATGTGGGGGACGAAGAACATGCTAGGGGGCTAATGCTGTGGATTCAAGCATGTGTGAATTGTTTATTTCATTCAATGTAGTTATTTGAACTTCTTACCGAACCTCTTTTGTTTTTCTAGTCTGCTATGCTGATTCTATGATCTAGCTCTTTGGCCAACAAAGTTTTCATAAATACCTCCTATGGATCACATCTGTGCCTTTTTATTACTATCATTTATTATTTTTCACAACTTAACAGATAACTGGTGATCCTGGAGCGGTGAAGAATGCTCTCCTTGCTGTTTCAACAATTATGTATAAATTCTCTCCAAAGGAAGAAATTTCTCTTGATACAACTGTTCCAGAAATCCCACCCAGCATAATCATTCCATCTGATGTTCCTATTTACCCATCTAGTAACTTCTACCATAGCACTGATGCAATTGTTGCCCCTCCAAGATCCGTGCCCCCAGTTATTGGTGCCACACACATGCCCGAACTTCCGGGATACACTGACTCCACCGGTAACTGGCCCTTGTACTCATCAACCCTTCCTATTCTATCTGGATATGGTGGCCCATCTCGCTCAGAGGAATTTGTCATCCGAGTCTTGTGTCCGTCAGATAAGATCGGACGTGTTATTGGAAAAGGTGGGAGCACGATAAAATCTGTGAGGCAATCCAGTGGCGCACGTGTTGAAGTTGATGATACGAAGAGAAAAAATGACGAGTGTATCATCACCGTTTCTTCCACAGAGGTTTGGTTTAATACATACTTTTGGTCGTGTGCTTATTGTTCTTATTATCCGTGATAATTTTCTCATTTGTGATCTGTAAGTGCAGTCTATAGATGATGTAAAATCAGCTGCAGTCGAGGCTGTGTTGTTGCTTCAAGGAAAGATACATGATGAAGATGATGAATCTGTGGCTATTCGCCTTCTCGTACCGACGAAAGTGATTGGCTGCCTTATCGGTAAGGGTGGTTCGATTATAAATGAAATGCGCAAAAAATCAAAGGCTGAGATTCGCATTTCAAAGAGCGAAAGGTCAAAATCTTCTTCTGATGAAGAACGTGTAGAGGTTTGTCTATCTCGAATCAAAGTATTTTTTCTTCAATTCGATTAGGGAATGCATTGCAGTTTTGATTTTTTGCTTTCAAATTGCCTTAGATTTCTGGTGAGGCAAGCAGGGTGAGAGATGCATTACTTCAGATTATACTTAGGTTGAGGGAGGATGCTCTTAAAGATAAAGATGGAAATGATGCTCTACCTACCTCTGAGTCTCTTTACAATAGCAGTTTGTCGGTGCCACCTCTACTGTCCAGCGGTCAAGGTGTTGGAAATATGGGCTATGATCATAGAACGGAACCTGGAAGTGGGTTGGGGCTGCTTTCTAGCAGCAGTATTTATGGTTACAGCTCTCTGCAGGTATTTTAGTCCTCTATTATAATGCAATGTTACTAATTTTTTGGATTTTGTTAGTCTAATCCTTTGTATAATATACCCTTCTGTGCATGATTCGATCATTTGACGCGTCTCTGTATTTTTTTGTGCCAAGGCTGGAGAGAGCGCATATGGTTCCCTTTCATCATACCCATCAAAGTCTTATGGAGGGTATGTTTTTTTTCCCTATAATTAATGTACCCATTCTGTAAATTCCAAATGATATTGTTATTTGTTCACTTTGTTATTGTTTTACATTTTTATGCTGTTCTTGCTTCAACCGTATTGGCATACTGTAATCAGCGGTTCTCTTAATCATTTCTGTTAGTTCATGTATATGTCAGCTTTTAGTAAGCATATCTTGTTTGTGGTGATGCAGATTGCCTTCGTATGTTGAGATGAGCATCCCCTCACATGCAATTAGCAAAGTGTTGGGAAAAGGCGGATTAAACCTTGCTAACATTCGGAAGGTACTTTTCAGGCATTTTCCCCTATCTTAGCAGGTTATAACTTAAAATTTGAAAGGATACTCCCATACAAATTTGTTTAGATAACTAGCGCTTAATTGGATTTTGATAACATATAACCCATTTATAATGCATTATACTTAACGACAAATGATAAATCAATTAGATAAAAACTATTGAGGTTAGGCGTGTGAGGCAATCAACTACTACATGAACAAAGAGAAAAGAATGCGATAGTCTTTTTAAGCCAGCTATAGTCTGACTTCATCAAATGGGAGCATTAAGAACTCTGCATTCATTAACTATTTAGAATAGGGAAGTTTACAAGCATAACACAAAATTCTTGTCACGAGCCTATGCATGAAAATGTGTATTTCACTTGTAAAAAGTAAGTAATAGTGGTATGCTTGATGTGATGTTCTAGATTTTGATGGTATGCTTGATGTGATGTTCTAGATTTTAATGGTATGCTTGTAAATATGAAAGTTCAGGTGTTAGATATGTAAATAAATAAGATTCATTGGTATGTATGCAAATGCCTCTTTAGAATTTTCTTCTTTTTCACGTTAGTCATCTTAATGAAGGAAGGAGAGAGCAACACTGCCATTTTGACCATGTTTGGCATGCCTGCTGTTCCTGCTTGTTTCAAGTTCTTCATAGTTCGTTCTCTATTTATCTCACTCACTACCCTCTATTTGTATATTCAATCTTGGGATGTAGAGGTAACTAATTGTTTCCCGTTGTCTTCTTTGAGAGGGTAACATGCAGGTGTCTTGTCCTTGCAAAGTATGGCGTTGCCTTTCTCCTAGTAATGTTAAGTTAACATCAGTCCTGTTACTAAGTTTGTACTTTCAGCTGCAATGTACCTATAATTGTTCATCAGTTGCATGTAGATCCTTCTGAATGTTTGGTGCTTAGTTTTAGTACATTAAAAGAAATGTTGCATCTTACTGCAGTGTAAGTAGAATTTTATATCACTTTAATGATTATTATGTGTAACATAATAAAATCATAATGCTAGAGCTATAAAGAAATATTTATCAATTCTACATATTATGTTAAAATGACGTTCAAGAAATGTATTTCATCAGTAGAGCTCCATGTTATGTAATGTTTCCTCAAAATGCTATTTATATTTTGAAATAAGACAGCTCATCTTTACGATCTAGTTATAATGTATTGAACTAGTAAATCATTATGATCATTATTCTTATCTACCTATTTGATCTTGGCTTTATGAATTTCCATCCATTTCCATTAAATGCTTATGAGATGCCAAGTGCAGCATTTGATTATGTTTATTTTTTTATTAAATCCCTTTTTTTCTCCATAAATCTTTAAAATAATTTTACTTGTCTGCCTTATTAGTTATTGCTTTTATTCTTTTTTTTTCTTTTCAACTACCTTATCATGATTTGATACTGTTCACTGCTCACAATCCCTTAAATATGATGAATTTGTTTCATTTCCCTTTTACTGTCAAGCATTCAAATGATTCTTTTATTGTGTGTAGTACTTTAGGGGCATTTCTCCAATTTGGTGATGGCCTTCTATGTAGAAGTTTATCTTCAGTCTTTATATGAATTTCACATCATATATTTTGCTCCTTTTAATTAGAAGCCCCGTATCTTAAAAAAAAATCTTGATTTGTAATGTTCCCGCTAATAATTAGCTCAATAGTTATTAATCTATCACTATTTCATTTATTAAGACTATTTTTTTAACTATCTTCCCATTTTTATGTTTTCCTTTTTTCCAATTTTTGCTTTACCAATTATTGCTTCTATCATTCTCATGTTGTTGTGGATTGTTCTCTTTTATTACATAATTAGCTCAATAGTTATTATCCTTTCACTAATCCTTTTATTAGGAATTTTTAGCTATCTTTATATTATTATTTTTATCTTTTTTCCCATTTTTTCTTTACCAATTATAGCCTATATTATTCTCATCAACAACAACAACAACAACAACAACAAAGCCTTATTCCCACTACGTGGGGTTGGCTACATGAATCCTTTTTCTCCATTGCGTCCTATTTAGTGTCATATTTTCATTTAGTTCTAGTAAATTAAGATCATTTTTAATACAATAAGCCCAAGTCTTCCTAGGTCTACCTCTGCCTTTCTTAACACAAATTAAATCTAAAACATCTACTCTCCTAATCATATCATCAGATGGTCGACGTTTAATGTGACCAAACCATCTAAGACGACTTTCTCTAATTTTGTTCGTCACAGCTACACCAACCCTATCACGAATATATTCATTCCGCATTTTGTCTCTAAGTGTAAAGCCACTCATCCACCTAATCATTCTCATCTTTACAACACTTAACTTATTTTTATGCTTCTCTTTTAAAGGCCAACATTTAGCTCCATAGAGCATGAAAGGTTTCACCACCATCTTATAAAATTTTCCTTTCAATCTAAGCTGTACTTTTCTATCACACAAAAGGCCAGAAGCATTCCTCCACTTTAACCAACTAACCAACCAACTTGTTTAACCAACCAACTTGAATTCTACTATTAACATCCCCATCCATATCACCATCGCTTTGAACAATGGACCGAAGATATCTAAATCATTCAAAGTCACACTTCTGCCACTAGAGCTATTACTGCTAAAATTACATTCCATGTATTCAGTTTTAGTTCTACTTAAATGAAGGCCTTTAGACTCCAATGTAGACCTCCATAATTCAAGTTTTTCCTGGGCTTTTTCTCTCGTTTTATCCACGAGAAGAATATCATCAGCAAAAAGCATACACCAAGGTACATCCCCTTGTAGATGTCCAGTAAGACCATCCATAACTAAAGCAAAAAGATATGGGCTTAAAGTCGATCCCTGATGTAAACCAACAGAAATAGGAAAATATTTTGTCAATCACATTTAAATCAATAATAAAATAAAATAAATGATAATGAAAAGGTAACGATTTCTCTAAATCAAAGCTTTTTTGCTTATATGAGGGTATAATTTTTTCAAAAAATCTTTATAGCTTCCATAGTAGACCTGCCCGACATAAATCCAAATTGATTATGAGAAATCTTTGTGATGCGTCTTAATCTATGTTCAATTATCCTCTCCCATAACTTTAAAGTATGACACATCAACTTAATTCCTCTATAATTTGCACACTCTTGTGCATCCCCTTTCTTCTTAAAAGTGGGGACCAAAATACTCTTCCTCCACTCCTCAGGCATCTTTTTAGTTTTTAAAATACTATTAAAGAGTTTAGTAAGCCAAGAATCTCCCAAATCTCCTAAATATTTCCACACATCAATTGGGATATCATCAGGTCCTACAGACTTTCCACCTTTGGTTTTCTTTAAAGAGTCCTCAACTTTTTTTTACTAATGAGACGGTAAAAATGAAACATTTTATTATTATTCACGATATTAAGATCACTAAGGTCGATCGTATTTTTAGAAACTTCATTAAAAAATTTATCAAAGTAACTCACTCACCTATGTTGAATATCTTTTTCTAAGAAAAATACTTTATGATTTTCATCTTTAATACACTTTACTTGAGTTAAATCTTTACTTTACTTTTCTCTTTGTTTGGCTAGTTTATACATGTATTTTTCACCCTCCTTATTATCTAATATGTTATAAAGATTATTAAAAACAAAATTTTTAGCATCACAGATTGTTCTTTTAGACTCTCTGCGGGCCGTTTGATATTTTTTTCCAGTTCTCTAAGTTTTTACATTTAAGTTAATTTTTATAACAAAACTTCTTATATTTTATCTTTTCTTGCAGATTATTATTCCACCACCAACTATTTTTATTTATAAAAATTTTTTCTTTTGACTTTTCAAATATATTTTTTGAACATTTGCGTATTCATGAATATCTCAAATTTTGAAATCTTAAATTTACTCATAAAAATAATTTTATTTGTCTTTTAAGTTTCTCCATCTAATTCTATGATGATGAGTCTTAGTATTCTTTATTATACAACTCTTAATTTTAAAATCTAGAACTAATAAACGATGTTGGATACTTAAATTTTCACTTAGAATGACCTTACAATCTTTAAAATCACGACCATCTCTCTTCTCATAAGAAAATAGTTAATTTGTGTTTTATTAGATCCACTCTTATAAGTAATAAGATACTCATCTCTTTTCTTGAATAAAATATTAGTAATAACAAAATCATACGCTAAAACAAAATCTAAAGTAGCTCAACCTTCTTCATTAACTACTCAAAAGCCGTAGCCACCATGAGTATTTCCGAAGTCTTTTACCACTCTATCGACATGTCCATTTAAATCTTCTCCAATAAAATTTCTTTCTTCAAGAGGTATGATTTGTATTAAGTCTTCTAAGTCATTCCAAAATTTATCTTTAGACTCTGTATCTAAACCTACTTGAGGAGCATAAACACTTATAATATTAAAAATCTTAGTATCAATGATAATCTTAAGGGCTATAATTCTATCACCAACTCTATTAATTTTTACAACATTATCTTTCAAACTCTTATCTATAATTACACCTACACCATTTCTAGTGCGACTCTTACCTAACCTAAATTATCAATCTCCTTATCATTTTCTCCAACCCACTTAGTTTCTTGAATACATAAGATATTCATTTTCCTATAAATCATAATATCAACTAATTCCATTAATTTATCATTGAGAGCACCTATATTTTAAGTTCCTATCCTAATATTTGTTTCATTAGTTTCATGTACTAACTTCTTTACCCGCATTTGCCCGTAATGTGGGAACCCTTGCTTATTTAACCTACACCGGGCGCCGGTGTAGCGGCCCTTGCACACTTTTCACTGTATTCAGGCTATACAATGCGTCGCTTACAGGGGACGCCCTAGCGCTTGCACAATGATCAAAAGGATTCATGTCATGATTTTTTCCGACAAGTTTTACGCTGGCTGTCGGCTGTCGACTACGACTACCTAACGCAACCTTTCACTTTTCACATCCAGACTTTTGACCGACAACGACAGTGTTAACCTATATTATTCTCA